CATGCCCTTCCTGAGGCGGGAGCCGCCGGCCGCCCTCACTAAGCGCCCGGCTCGCCGCGGCCGCTTCCGGGGAATTGCGGGGGGAGGAGATTTGCGCTCTCCCGGCCCGAGAGTCCCCGCCGCGCCCGCTCCTCTCCCCGCCGCGGCCGTCGCCTCCCCGCCCCGACACCCTCACGGCTCCGAGCGCTGGGCCGTCGCCCCGGGAAATATCGCCCCTCGCTGGGTGGCGGACCAGCTGGCCTAGACGCTCCCGCCGTTGAGGGCTGGGGTCTGAGGGCTGAGGACAGCCCGTCGGTGAGGGGGCGATGTGGCCGCGGCCGCCTCAGGAGGGAGGAACCGCAGCTCCGGACCGCCAGGCCGCGCCGTCGAGAACCGCAGAGGCGGCTGCGCTCACCCGGGAGCCGCTGACAGCTCGGCTCCGAGCTCTGCCGGGTTTTGAAGGCAGCACGCCGCGCCCAGCCCCCAGCTGTGACCTCCAGCAGCTGCTGGCGTCAATGCAAAGCAGCTGGGGGCGCCCCGGCCGCCTCCGGCGCCGCCCGCCACTGGGCATGCGTGGCCGCCTAGCGAGGAGCGCGCAGGCTAGCTGCCCCGGGAAGGGAAGGGACTTGCCCCAGGACGCACAGCCACGCCAGCGGAGGGCTGTCACTTCAGGCCACCAAAACCCAGATTATATGAGTGAAATGGTCGGTTCCTCTGACTCCATCTAGTTCAAGCCTGCAGTGTTCCCATGGCCTTCGGGCTAATAGCTCTTACTTTGTCTGACAGACAAGCTAATCATTAGAGGAATTCTGCTTGCTGCTAGACTTTTTTTAAACCAGCCCCGCCCATTTTCCCTTCCCTTGAACTCTGTACTTTCTTCAAATGGATCTGAGGAGCTATTGGGTTGTCGGAAAAGTCATGACGCATTTTTGAACCGAAAAACAGAAAAAGTATGTCATGACTTTTCCGACGACCCAATACTAGGGCTCCCATCACCTACTAGGGTGCCTTCTCTATCGATAAACTTTTCCTCACTCCAAACGCTAATGTTTTGCGTTTTGGCCTTTCTAAGCATCTGGCACACGGGCTTTGGACCGGAACAAGGCCACGGGGTTCTTCCAGTCCTTGCTCCTTACGTTAGCAGCTGCATGATTTCGGTCAGGCCACTATCTTTGAGCCGTTAAAGAGGCCAGTGGGAGGACCCTCGTTTGGGGTGACGGTGAGAGGGTCAGGGGGGCGCCCACATTCTGGGTCCCATGAGGGTGGGGTCTGGGCATTATTGTCGGGGCCACACTATGTGCACTATGCTATACGAGCCAAGACCTGGAGCACCACGCCTGGCTGCACCTGCTATGGGAAGACTATGATGCGAAGAAGCTACATTTTGTGGCAGGATGCAGGCACCGCCCTCTTCTCATTTTAACCAAAGGACTGGTAGCCCTCGGGCGCCCGAAACCCCAAAGGCTCCTTAGTTGCAGGTGCAGAACCAGGCGTCTGCCGTGAAGGGAGAGACCAGTGACGACTACAGACCGCATCCCATTCACCCCTCCACCAGCTCACTGTGTGACCTTGGACCAGTCACTTAACCTCTCTGTGGGGCTCCTGCCCCGGCATCTTGAGGGCCGCGCCCCTGGGTATCCATCACTACCCGGGAACGGTCCATCTCGGACCCGCCCCCACTCCCACCCTTCCTGAGACTGTAGGTCTGCGGAGACGCTAGCGCGGCAGATCCCTTCCTTTTCCCTCCCGCGGTCCACACCTTTCCTAACCCGGCCCTGGAGAGACCCAAAGGTGCCGCTGCTCCGCCTCGGGCCCGGCTGCTGTAAAGACCCGGAGGCGTACAACGGACTGGAGTCCTTGCTGTGGCGCCAGGACTGCAGCACAGCTCAGGTACCCTGCCGCGGCTGGCGCTTCAGGTGCCGTAAGATCCGCAGCCCCGGTACCCCTCCGGCCGTGATCTTCCAGCCCTGGGTGCACACCAGGCGGTTCCTCAACAGCGGCGGCGGAACAGAGAGGCCGGTAACCCGAGAACAGCTTGTACTATTCGCCCTCTTTACTAGCCGAGTGCCTGAACCACTGGCACGTGACTCCGTCATCATCAAGTTTAACTACATTAAGCGATAATAATATTTATGCCTCCCTGCCTAATAAAAATAGCAGCGGGTCGATTAAGATGTCTTTTAAAATGCAGGAAAAGATGTTTACTATCACTCCTTATGCCACCTAAATTGTGTAATAGAATGTTATCAAACTTTGTTCTGCAGACCTTAGAAAGTAATTTTCCCAGGCAGAATCCAGACCCTTTTAAATAAAGAGTAATTCATGAAGAAAACGCTTTGAACCACCACAGTGCATGAAAGTATGCCAAGAGCCCTATGTCCTCACCTCCCCACCTCGCAGTGAAGTCTGGCCTTGATGAGAGGCCTGCTGACCTTGCCTCCCCTGGGGCTCCAGCCTGCTTCAACCCTCTGGGTACTCCCCTCGAGGCCCTGGCCTCCCTTGGAAATCCTTGAGCCTTGCACTAATCAAGGGGATGTCCTTGCCATGCCTCACTGGCCCCTGGGCTGCCTGTGCCATTCCTAGGTAGTCACTTACCCTTTCTGTTCCCAGAGAATTGTTGGATAGCATCATTGACTGGCTTCCAGCTCTGCAGTTTGGGGGCCCTAGACTCAGAGTCTTAAGGCTAAGAATGATTCAGGAGCAGACAGCAAAGGTAGAAGTCATCTGTCTGCTTCTGGGGTCACAGAGAGCAACCCCTCACATATGCTTTTCCTGCCCAGGAACTCAGCCTGGGACACTCCAGGAAGCCACAGGCCCCCCCCATATCAACCTCCGGACATCAATCCCACCCGCCCCTCCTTCCTTGGCCATAGCCTGCACTTTGAGGTCCCCGAACACTTCTCTACCCTATGAAACCAGCCTCCCCAGACCTCCGGGACAGGTGGACACCAAGAGCTCACATTGACAAAAGTAATCCATGTGCCACCCACCTTAGAGGAGGCACCCCCACCATGCCAACCATGTGGGCACCTTGCAGCTCTGTGGCACGCAACATATACCCCACCCAACCAGTCCATTCCCCCTGGGTGTGGGGACCCCCAGTAGGCTCAGAGTTGTAGGTGAATGTTGGCTGCAGTTGTTACTCCCAGGACTGAGGCATGAGGAGGTCATGGGGCTGGGAAAGAAGTCAAACCAAGGAGGACAGACGCCAGCTTGGGCCCAGCCCCTCTACCCCACCACCACCACCACCGCCAAAGCCGTCCTCACAGCCCACCTCACCAGTTCACTACAGACATGAAAATGCACAGCTTTGTTCACCTAAAATGCAAAGTTTGTCTGATTCCACACCTCTTCTACCTAAGCTGCTCTTTTAGATAGCCATCCTCCCTTCTGGCTTTACTTCCTTCTTCACCTAGGGGTCAGCATTCAAAGACTGTGCCACTGGCACCCAGTTTTCTACTCCTCCCCTTGCCTTCCACATTGAATTGGGCTGGAAGCAGCCAAAGGTGGAAGAGCTCCTGCATCCTGAGGTCTGAATCCCAGCCCTGCCATTCGTCCTCTCTGAGCTGCTTTCCTCTCACAGGGATTAAATGGGCTAACTGATGTCAAATGCCTAGAATAACTACTGAGACCTGGCACCTTAGCTCACCACCTCCTGTGTCCATTCCTCATCACTTCCTCCCAGGCCTGTCCCCAGACTGCTGCAAACCACAGGGGGACTGAAATTACCATGAAGATCAACACATCTACCAATCTATGGCATCGGACTTCATCAGGCTCATTCCTCTAACTTTCAAAACTTTGTAAGATGTCATTTTTTAAAAACATGTCATTTTTAAATTATATATTCTATAATTTACACATGCATATGTGCTGGAAAACAATTTAAAAAATCAAAGTAAGCAGAAGTATATAACGTGAGCAGAGGCAAAGGAAAGTGTCTTTTCCTTCCCCACTCCCTTCCTTCCGTAGAGGTAACTATTGTTAACAGTTTGGACCATATGTTTCCAGACCAGTTTCTATGTTACACATAACACACACACACACACACACACACACACACACAGCTATTATTATATAATATCACAAACAGGGCTGCAGTGAACATCCATGAATACATCTTTTTCTGTAGGGTGGACTCCTAAAAGTTGTATTCCTTGGTCAAAGGTATGTACTCCCATCCCCACCCCAGCTCCAGAAGGTGTGAGAGGAAATGAAAACAGAGAGAAGGAGAGAGAGGGAGAGAGACAGCCCAGCTGAGGCTGAGGGATTGAGAATTCCCGGGGTACCCCCTCTTCCTCTGGATAAGGGGGACCCAGCCACCCCCAGATGCAAGCTTCTGTTGATCTTCTCCAGATTCCCAGCCTCCTTATCTTTATTTCTCTGGGTACTCCTAAGCCTTTAGTGAAGTGTGTTTGAATTTCCAGCCTTTCCTTGATAAGGGAGGGACTGGGTGACGACCCTTAGACCAGAGCTGCAAGGAGGGAGCAGCACCCCCTAGGGGACAGAACTGTAGCAGAGTAAGCCCTTGGGACACTGTCCTGTCTCCAGGATTCAGGTGTGCACCTGCATTTCTCTTCTCATTTGGCTCCAGACCTTGGTACGAACCCCGTGTGGATTCCCTTCCTCAAAATGACCTTATTAACTCCTGCAGCCTCAGGCTCCTTCCCTTCCAACCAAGCACTGCGCTCCCACAGCTGGATGGGGCAGAGCCAGGACCCCCGATGTCCTCCAGTTCTTGACCCTTCCCTTGGGGCCTCATCCCAACCCACCCAGCCTCTGGACTTCCCAGCCTGTGGCTCTCAGCCAAATGCCACCTGAAAAGAGCATTTGGCTCCTGGGGCCAGGATCACTGGTGGCCACCCATCCTTGAGGGGAGGAGCAGGGGAGAAAAACAGGGTCTCCTGGCTTGGAGATGGAGAGCAGTGTGTCAACACAGCCCTGAGACGGGACTTGTGACAGGGATGACATCTGTCAGCCAACAGTGTTAGGCTCTCTGCTAAATACTTCACGTGTGTGAGCTCACTTATTCCTCCTAACAGTCCCATGAAGTGGTTACTATTATCCCCCTACTCCTCCCTCCCCCTGCCCCCCATTTTATAGAGGAAGATACTGAGGTTTCTTGGAACCAGGGTTCCCGCAAGGCTTTAATAAAACCCAATACTCATCTTTTAAAGACTCTTTTAAAAACAGAAGGATGCTTCTTTAATACAATGAAGCGTATTTATTTCCAGCTAAGAGCTTTCTAGATACGTAGTAGTGAATGCACTAGAACACTCCCCAGGGCTGGGACTCAACGGGCACAATTCTAAAGAGTTTTTCAGCCAAGAAGCACTTGACAGGAGCATAACTAATGGAATCAGAGATAAGACGTAGGACCAGCCCCCACTGCTGCTATTATCCAGCATTGACTAGATGTTCTGAGAAGGGCAATGAGACATGACTTAGAAATTAAGGATACAGATAATGAGACTGGAGATAAAATGTATTAATATCATTCACAGCAGGTAACATAACGTTATATCCAAGACACTTAAAATCAACTCCAAAGTTATTAAGGTGAAAGATTTCTCTAAAACGGTTAGATTCAAAGTTAAAAAAAAAGTGTAGTACTGTAGGTGATCCATGACCAGTTAGAAAATCCAATGACAAAAGTCACACTAAGTGCCAGGCCCAGGGTTGGCCATTATGTGGAAGCCAAGTTTCCCCAGGCCTCACCTGGGATCTTGGGAGAGTTATCACCCACATTTGGCTGGCTCTTCCCTCGTCCAGCCCCCTGCAGGCCTCCAGCCTCCAGCAAAGCTTCACCCACTTACTTCTGGGAGTGTCAGAGGGTGGGTTTGAGGTGAGGAAGCGTAATTACCCCATCACTGCCCCATCACTGAGCCCCAGGCCCTGACTCCTGGTGCTGTGAAACCTGAGGCCCTGGAGTCCTCAGGGTGCCAAGGTTCCTCTGGGCTCCAGGCACACACGGGAAAAGGCACACTGACAGGGTGGCAGCCGTGTGTCCATTTGCCCAAGACTCTACCAGTTTTAACATTGAAAGTCCTGAATCCTGGGAAACCCTCAGTCCCCGGCAAATCAGGCTGGTGGGTCACCGTATACATCCTTACAACCCTCCCACACACACATTCAAATGCACACACCTGATGTCTCACATTCTCTCCAGGCCCTGAAGCCACAATGTTTGTGCCCTGTGTCTTGCAGGGTTTACATCTGGGCAACGAGCCCTTCCACCTTCTGTCCACAGGCTTTCTCTTGGGGACTCAAGACTCACACCCACCTCTGAGCAGAACTAAAGAGAGAACAGAGCCCCCATTCTCCTTCCTCATGCAAAACATATGTCTCTCCCCACTCCTTCCACCATCCTGCCAAAGCTTAGGTGAGGCCTGGGGCTCACACTACACAGAAACGCCCCCATCTAAATCCCCACAAAGCCCCGTGGGGTTGGCATTATTATCCTCACTTTACTGGAGGGGAAGTGGAGGCTCAGAGAGGTTAAGTAACTTGTCCTAGGTCACACAGAATGCAGACAGCAGAACCAGGTTGCAAACTGTGCCCTGACACCAAAGCCCAACACGTCTCCGCTGTGCAACAGCTTCCATGAAAATCAGCTTTGACAATAATGAGTTACATACGGGAGACTGAGGGGCCAAACATCACTGGTGTGTTAGAAGCAGAAAGTGAAATATGATATACCCCAGAACAACTGAGGGCTGCTTCATTCCCAGGAATGTGGGGCAAAATACAGAGCAGGACCCTGGTTACCAAAAGTATGCGGGGCTTTTTATGTCAGCCGCAGCCATCATGAATCAGTCCTCTAAAAGCTCCTAATCCAAACTAACCCTCCTTTCCCCCAGCTCCTCGCCTGATTCATCCAGTCACTTCTGCTCGCCTGAATCACCCGCCCAGAGTTCTGGGTCCTGGGCTGCCCAGGTCCCCTGGGAAAACTGTCATTCTCTTCTCCGGGGACTGTGTCCTGTGTAAGTGTCCCCATGCCTACTTGCAGGGGGCAAAAGGATTTGAAGTGGGGAAGGTTCTGGCCTAAGTGGCAGTGCAACTGGAAAAAGTCAAGATAGCAGGCTGGGCCTCATCATAACGAGGGTCCCAAAGTCACTCCTTCATATACAGACTTTACTGAGTGTAGCATGTGTAGGCAGTAGTCTGGACACTGAGGCTACGATGACAGAAATAGCCCTTGGCGCTCACCTGGGGTGGGAGACAGGCATCATTCAACTTCACAAGAGTATAATTACAAGCTGATGAGTGCTGTGACGTCCAAGGAGCTCTGAGTGTGTATCACAGTAGGAAATGACTTAATCTTGGGCAGAGCGGAGTGAGTACCAGGAAGTTTGTCCTGAGCTGAAACATGAGTGGACAGCTGTTTTTCATGCCCAGCACCCATTCATCCTTCTTATAACTATACATGATTTTCCTCTGGGAAACCACAGTCACCCCTAGTATCAGCTCCAATTATTTGGGTGGAACGTTTAGCCTGTGCCACTCCCCTGGCCACAGAAATGGAGTTAGAGGTGGGCACATGAGCCAACGCAGAGTTAGTGAGTGTTGATGTCACTGGGTGAGCCCCTGGTCAAGCCACACCTGAAGTCAGAACTACACTTGCTTTTTCCACTTCAACACCAATAACTTCTGCTTTTGCTTAAGCCTCTTTGGGTCTAGTTTTTCGTCTCTTACTAAAACTGTCCTAGCTGGACTAGGAGGATGTGTCAGAATTAATGAGATAAGAAACAGAGGACAGAACATTCCAGGCAGAGGTAAGAGAAAGCACACAGGTCCTGAAGTGAGAAGGGAGAGCAGGGGGTGTTCAGAAACAGCCCCTTCTAAGCTGCTGGCCACTGCGCCAAAAGCTCTTTATAATAATTGTCTTGTGAGCCGTCCCAGCAGCACTCCGAGATAGGTGTGTTATCACTCCTAGTTTACCAAGGAGTAAACTAAAGCTCACACAAGGGAGGCAACTGGCTCAAGGTCACAGGCTAATGACACAAACCTGACTCTGAGGTCAAGGTCACAGGCTAATGACACAAACCTGACAGAGGCCTCCCTGACTCTGAAATCTGTGCCGTTGGTCTTCATCTTATACGTTCTGCTCCACATATGATCTGTTGGGACCTCAGTCCATCCCCTTCCATCCCACTGCTCTGACCACCTGGATTCTAGAGGGTTTGGCCAGTGGAGGCACTTTAGAGATTAGAAGGCACGGGGGAGGGAAAGGCCACCCTGACGGGCAGCGTCAGTGGCAGAGGCTGCAGCTGGGTTGGTGGCAGCAGTGCTGTGGGGTGAGCATAAGGGGCAGCCCCTCTAGCAGCTCGGCAGTGAGGCTTGTGGGTTCCTGGGGTATACACAGCAGCTCTCTGATCCCCAGATACCACAGGCACACATCAGAGGAATTGCGGGCTGGGTTCTAGACCTCCATGATAAAGCGAGGATGCACAGTGGGAAGATGGAAAGAACCAGTGTCATCACCGTCACGGGTGTAATGACAGAGCTGCTGAATTCGCCCCCTCAGGAACCACCCATGTCTGACTCCATGTTGTGCGGCATAATAAACCTGTTGTTTAAACTCTTTTTGGTTAGGTCTTCTGATATCTGCAGCCAAAAGTATTCTACCTTACATCCTAGGCCACCTGTCCTTTTTAGCTCTAACATTTTGTGATTCAACTTCCCTTTTCAAAGAAGAAAACAGAGGCTGGGCAAGAGGGGAATTGTCCAAGGTCCCTCCATGTCTGTGAGTGGCAGAGACCAGCCCTGCCCCCCCCCATCTGCCCGCTGCATTCTCTCTCATTAACCCCTTTGGCCCAGCCCTTTACACAGTGATGAAGGTCGTTGCTAAACTGTTCTGTTGCTAAGAAATGGTTCATTTTCCCACTCACCCACACTTCTCTGGGCACAAAAGAGTGCACGGTTGGATGAAGGGGACCTCAGACAAGTTCCCACCCTGTGGCCTGTCCCTGTGGAGCTGCCGCTGGGCCACACAGAATACAGAAGGCTGAGTGGGGGCAGGACTCTCCCAGCACATAATCAGCACGCTTGGCAGTGGTGGTGCTGCCAGCTTGTGGGCCACCCAACAGCTGTACTCCCAGTGGAGCCAGAAGACCGGAAGGAGCGAGTTCAAAAGGCCCTCTCGTCCCTCTGAAATGTGAAAGCGTGCCAGTGCCCACATGAAGGCAGCAGGGAGCTCGGTGACTCTGGCTTTTCTGGCCTTCCTTCGGGAGGAGAGCAGACTTGTGTAAATTCGGTGTTGTCCGGGATGCCAGCGCCAACTTCAGAGATTCTCCTTGTTGCTGGCCATCCAAGGGACAGAGCCTGGGATTTCTGCTGGAAGAAGTCCAATACCAGAGTTATGCAGGGACTCTCGGATAGGCGAGAAAGAAGGAGAAGGATCCCGTCCCCACTCAGAGGCTCGACCACAAGCAGAACCAGTCATGTCATTACAGTGAGCGATTTTCCTCCTCTGTTGTTATTTTTAACTCACAGGACTATTCAGGCATGCTAACAGCAGCTTTCTCTCCCCTCACAGCGTTTGCTCTGGGATCCTGGAAGACCAGGTCGGACTTCTGAGGCTCAGAGAGTCGCAGCAGGTGCCCACAGCCCAGGAGCCCACCTTCCCTCTTCCCTAAACAAGGCTGACAGTCACGGCTTCTTCCGTGGTAGAAGGCAAGGGCTTCGGCTAGAAGTCACAGAATCCATTCTGGCTACCTTAAGCCAAAAAGGAACTTTTGGGAAGGGATATCAGGATACTTTGGGCTACAAGTAGTGCAGTATCAACAGGTTACACAGTATCACACAGCAAGCCAGGTCTCTGTGGTCCCAGCCTTGAATATGGCTCAGTGATCCCCACTTCCTGGTACTCACACCCTGGTGCAGCCCCTCCAGCATTAAACAGGGCTGGCCTACGTAACCACTAGGAAACAGCAGAAATGACTGGATGACTTCAAGGCTAGACACAGAAGTCACTGTGGCTTCAACCTGGTTGACCTTGCATTGCTAGCTCTGGAGAAGCCAGATGCCATGTGGTGAAGATGCTCACACAGCTCTAGGGAGAGGCCTGTGCAGAGGGCAGCGGAGGCCTCCTGCCAACAGCCTTGTGACTGAGCCATCCTGGAAGTGGAGCCTCTAGCCCCCATCTGGCCTGTAAAGGGCCACAGCCCTGGCCGCCAGCTGGATGGCAACCTCATGAGAGAACCTGGGCCTAAACTACCAGCTTAGCCTCACTAAACTAGGCGTCGGACTGAGCTTTTGCACCCAGCCCTCATAAGCTCCAGAAAGTGGGCTTTATTATTTCCCCGTGCTACAGAAGAGGCACGGCCAGGAAGTGGCTGAGATGAGATACAACAAAGCCCTCTCTTCAAGGGTTGGGCTGGGAGATCCAGCCCAGCTCTGCTTACCTGTATGCCCTTCAGAAAACCCCTGACCTATGCCACTTGTCCTGGGTGCCTTGGCCCCCGGTTATTCCTCCAGTACAGGGCTCCGCTGGTACCTCAAACCACCAACAGTGGGGACAGAGGAAGATCCTGGCGCCCAGGTTCAGTAAACTCGTGTCTGCACATAACCCTGCCCCGTGCCCTCACCCCTGGCCTGACAGCCCACCCTCAGTCTTATCCACAAACCCAGATAGTTCTTGGGTTGCTCCTGAGGCCAGTATTTCCAGGAACAGCGATGCTTTGTTAGAAACAAGGCCACTCGGGCATGACGCAACCCCCGCAGGAGTAGGTTCCCTCCCCAAGGTGGCCCCTGGATGGTTACCTGTAACAGCAAGTCCCTCACAGCGCTGCTGCCAGCCACCCCATCTGGTGCCAGGCTTCCCCTGAGGACTTAGGCTTATGCAACTTCTTCTAGGATTTAATCTTCTTTTTCTTTTTGGTTCATTATCATGTCTGTGTCTGAATGGATTTTGCACAGCTCATATGTGAGTGGGCGAGATGTGGCTAAATAGCCAGGAGGAACAGTGGGTCAGGCCATCACCATTCCTTTAGGAACCAGGGGCTTTCAAATGGCTTTTTGGGAAGGCAATAATTTTGTCAAAGGAAACACGCAGGAAGCTCTGAAGTTTTTGGGAAGGTGGGGGTAGAAACTTCACCATAACATCAGCCCCTCACTCCCAGGGGTTTGAAACCTCTGAGGTGACCCTGGACCCTATAGAAAACACTGGGCATTTTCAGGGTGAACCCCTCAACGTGCACAACTGGCAGCATAACAGGCTGGTCTCCAACACCCCGGCATCCGTCAAGGCTTTAGCCCTGTATTGTTTGGATTAGGTGCAGCTGCTGTGACAGAAAACCCCAAATAACAGAGGCTTAAACAACACAGAAGGAAGTCATCAGAGATCCAGGCTGAGGGGACCACACTAAGCACAATTTGAATCGCTCAACGTCGCCGTGCCAGCACCATTCTAGAGACTTAATGCTGTGACAGTCAGCATGTGGCAGCCACCTCATGGAGTTTCAGGCTGGCTTCTCTCCACATGGAGAACATGAGGACTGAGGGACCTCCCAGAATGTGGGACTTCCCGTTTTACAACCAGGAGAGCCTCCGGTGAACCTGATGAGTTGGCCACCCCAGAAGGACAAGGACCCTCCCCTAAGGACACTTTTTGGAAGTCATACAGAATGTTTCTTTTGTCTCACCTTATACAGGTGCAGTCTTTTCCCTCAGTCGTGACCATTATTTTTCTGCTTGGCTGCAGTTAAAATTTCGCTCAGCGATGCAGCTTCCAGCTGTCCTGGATGTCTTCACCCATTAGCCCTAAATCCAGACAGAAGTCTTGTATGGACTGCATGAGACACAGCCTCCTTAACCCCACACTGCCATCCGGGACAGCGCTGGGCTTCTTTACTGAAAAGCTTCCAAGGCAAGGAAGTCTCAAGACCTTGGGGAAGTCAAAAGAGGGCAACAACCTTCCCTTCTTTTTCCCTTCCCTTCCTCCCTCATCAGACACGAGGTACTCAAGACACCACAGACATAAACAAAATGGACACAGTTCCTGAGTCCGAGAGCTTACAGACTAGCCTATGGGACAATTATACAATCCTGTATAACAGGTATGACAAGGGTCAAGACCGGCAATCAGGATGCTTAGGGGAGGCCTACGGCAGACACCCAATCCAGAGTTGGGTATTCACGGGGCTTCCTGGAGAAGACAGAGGAGGATGGACCAAGTGACAAAAGGGAGTGTTCAAGTATACAGAGCAGCCTAGAAAGGAGCCACGGGGCAGGAGAGCATGTGACTCCTTCAAGGGACCGGAAGCAGCCCAGAGGGGGTGGAACTAGGATGGGGAGAGGCAGTGCTGGGAAGGGACTAAAGATTGAATAAGGGGGGTCATCAGGGCTTAGATCACGCTGTCTTCCTGAGCCATGATGAATAGCTGACACTTTGCCTGAAAGCACCAACTGGGCCAGATGCCTCTTAACCAACCATTGCCCTCCCACAGCTCAGCCGCTGTCCAGGTCTTGTCCCCGGTCAATCCCATCATGCACTAGTGTGCACTGGCTAACAGAGGCTGGGAATGCAGCCGGGCCACAGGAAGGTATCCTGCCTGGTCCTGCCAGAGCTGAAGATGAGCCAGCCCTGCCCACTGCTGCCTTATGGGTGATGGGCCACTCTGTGAAAGGATGCCCCACCCCATGCCACATGTCCACTGTTGGGCACTGCAGCCCCCTCCCCACCTTCTAGAACTGGGCCCTGCTTTCCTACCTCCTCTTGTCAAGAATCATCCTGACAGCTGGTTCTAGCAGAACCTCGGGTGGAGGACTTGGGAGCTCCCGGTCAGGAGAGCATAACTGGCGGACATCCACTCCTGGGGGAGGATGCATGTAAAACTCTGACTCGGGTCACATGATGTTTCCTGTGTTGGTCACCACTTGCTCGCTGGTGGATGACAGCAAGCGGTGTGGTTAGGGACTGCCTGAGGGGTTGCAAAGCTGTAGTGGTTTGACACAGTTCTTTATTTTTTCATAATTCAGTTTAAACCTGGTTCCAAGCCACTATCCCACTGAGCTGGCAAGAGATTCAATCTCACGCATATCACTGAGCTGCCCTCCTCCAATGCCAGTTTTGTCAAGGCCTCAGGGTCTCAGGCAGTACTGAGGCCTCGGGCTGGTGGCCCCTTTAGTCACACCAGAGACTTCGGGACTATTCACCGTCCCAGCCTTGTGCCCCCTCTGGTTTGGGGGGCCTGGCTGATGTGGAGAGTCCCTTGAGGTACGGGGGTTGCGGGAGTGGGGTGTGAGCTCTGTGCCTAGGGTGCACCCCTACCTGAGTATATCTGGCAGCCATTCCCTCCAAGGCCTTGTCACTGGACACTGCCTAGAAGCAGGGCACGGGACCGCCCCCCACTCTTCCCTACCCTAATTCCACTCTACCCCTTCCCCTTGCGGGGTAAAAATTTCTCCTGCTCCCTCATTGCTGCTCCCAAAGACCCACTCTTTCTTCCTACTTCCAGCACACAGCACAGAGTCTATACTGAAGGGGCTCCCAGCTAGGAGAGGGACTCCTACAGTGGGATGGGAGAGCCTGCCAGGAAAATTTTGTTTTCAGGTCCTACCTACCTTCAGAGGCTCTGACCTCCTCTGGCCTCTTGAGGGCTCTGCTCCCTGCAGCTAGGGATCCAGGCTGAGGTGGGTCATCCACAGTCCTGCGGCACTGGGACCTGTTTCCACCGCGCCTGGGGAACTGCTCGCAGGCAGCAGCCAGTGCCTCCACCCCACCTGGTGGAGGAAGGGAAATTGCAGCCTGAAGCTGTCGGTATGTTTGCAACAGCTTCCCTGTTGGGAAGAATCACTACTTGGCTACTTTATTGATACAAGACAATCCTCAGTTTTATCTTCTTCCCAATGCTCCATGAGCAGACCTCTTTGATTCCTACTCCAGAGCTGTCCCAGGTATCCATTTTTGTGTAATAAACTGTTCCAAGCCTAGTCACATCAAATAACCACTCTCTAATGTATGGGGAACCGTAGGGCTGGCTTGTCTCTGTTACATGTTTGAGGCCTCAGCAGGGAACACTAGAATGGCTGGGGCTGAAACCACCAGCATTTTGGCCAGAATGACTTGAAGGCTGGGCACAACTGGGACTGTTGACTCAGTGCCTACCTGTTACCCCTCCACTGGTTTAGGCTTCTTTACAACATGGCAGCCTCGGGGTACAGAGACTGCTTACAATGTGGATCAGGGTGCCAAGAGTGGGTATCCCAGTGAACAAGACCAAAGCCGCATGGCCTTTTAGAACCCGGTACTGTGGACTGAATGCATGTGTCTCCCCAACATTCATAGGTCAAAGTCCTAATCCCTAATGAGATGGTACTGCTCTCTCCCTGCCATGTAAAGGTGGCCATCTGCAAACAAGGAAGAGTGCCTCCACCAGACCCTGAAGCTGACAGCACCTTGATCTTGGACTTCCCAGCCTCCAAAACTGTGAGAAATAAATGTTCTTCAAGCCACCTAGTCCATGGTACTGTGTTACAACAGCCCAAACTGACTGAGAAGTTGCATAGTATCATTTCCACCAGACTTGACTGATCACAGTGGTCACAAGCCTGCCCAGGTGTAAGCAGGGGGGACACAGACTGGCATCTCGATGGGAGGAGTGTTACAGAATTTGCAGCCATCATTTAAAACCACCATGATCCCAGCTTTATGGAAAGAGCCAACTCAGTAGAAGGTCGCTGTGCAGGAAGACACAAATGCAATGAAAAGCAAGGACTGAGAAGCAGAGAGTCCTGGAGCCACGAGGTACCTGGGATCTGTCGCCTGCAGCTGTTCCCCTGCCCTTCCTGGTGACACACAGGAGCCCATTCGTTCCTCTCGTTCTAAGCTATTTGATTGAAGCTTTTCAGTAGGAAGGCCATCTGAAAACCAGCCACCAGGCTATCTCACCCTTGAATTCTGTTCTGACCGAGATGACCCTGGTCCCAGCCTCAGCGTTTGGCCACAAGCTGGCTCAGAGCAGCTGACATGGCAATAAGGGCCTGTCCCAAGCTCCAATAAAGATTAGATATTTGCCCCCAAGGCACTGTGGAAGAAAAGATCCTTTGAAAGGGGGGTGCTTTGGTACAGATTTTCTCCTCTAATTGAATCATTGGCTTTGAGAAAAACAGTTTGGTTAGAATATAAGCAAGTGTTATCTCTAGAAGTAGAAAAGAATCTTATTGAGGAAGTCAATTTCAGGAGAGAAAAGCAATCTTTAGTTTATAAAGTGAGTTTCTCATCCCATCCTTAAATGACTATTCCTTTTTCTTGGAAAGAAAACCTGACAAGTTTTGCTTGGGGAAAAACGTGTCCTTGGTCAACTGGAGCTGAGTGACAGAAGCAACCCATGCCGTGACTTCTCCAGCCTCACCGAGCTCGCTTCCCTGGGTGTAGGCACACGCGGTCACTGCACGCTGGTGTTTACTGACATCTAGGAGAGTTTGTAGCATTCCGTGTGCCAGACCTGTCAGTTACTCCCTGTCTTACTTGTAGACGAGAACTAAGGAGTCCCATCTTCAAGAGCTATGGAAGGTGTCTGTACAGAGAGGTCAGATAGCAACATAACCTGTATGAGGATTTGAAATCTGTTCCGAACAGTCCTTGTGGGATAATCTCTCCCTTGTTCTTTTTTGGTCTGAACATAATTTGCAATGCTTGGCGAGTGGGATGGGGCTGGTTGAGGAGTGGGAAGTGATCTTCTTGTTCTATCGTGCTGTTCGCCATGAGGAGGGAACACGGATCGGATTGGTTAGAGTCCACATTAACAGGTGCGCACAGATCAGACTCTTCCAAATCCTGCTTCCATGAGCCTGAGGTGTGGAGCCCACAGGACCCTCCATTCATATATATATATGTATATATATATATATATATGTGTGTGTGTGTGTGTGTGTGTGT